AAAATGTAAACAATGCTACGAGCTACTCAACGAAAACCAATCAACTCATAACAAAAAATATACCTCTCAAAAGGAATTCTGTTAAGGATGACAGCTTGAGTGAACAGTTTCGCAGCCACACGGCGAGAATCGTTTTTGTGCAGTAGTTGGATGATTACATCCATCATCCTTAAATTGTCGAAAGTGATTATTAAACATTTATTAGAATGAATATCGATAAAACTGGCTCAAATAGATAGCTTAAGTTATATGCAGATGAATGAATGAAATAATTGCTACTAGTTTTGTTGATGGATGTCATTAATATCAGTTAACTAACAGGTATAGTTAAAGTAAGTCTAATAACGATACTTTAAAATAAGAATGAAACAAATCACAAACTGTTCATTGGGAATATTATTCAATAAGTTATTCAAATCAACAGATACATTCTTCACATCGTCCACTTCCATTCCACTATCGTTCAGCTGATTGAACAACTCTGAAATTGATTCTTCGAATGTACACAAACGTTTTCATCATAACAAATTCGTTGAGAAACTACAAGAAAATGAATAACGACTATAATATTCACAATAATAACAGCAAGCAATGTTAATGAACAGCTTGCTGAATGGCAAAATATATGGACATTGTTTAATCAAATATACTGTGAAGGGGATCAAAATTTAATCCGAGTGAACATATTTATTACTTATTCTGTTTACAACTAAAGAAATCACTCCGAATATTGAACCGAGTTCAAGACCAATTCAGTAAGAATATCATCAATTATAGCATTTTTGATTCGTCTCGTTTCATTTGCAGTTGATGAAGANACGATCAGAAGCTGAAGTTACCGATTGAAGAATTTAAAATGACTTCTTCTTGGAAATGTACGGGGTGAAACAGCCACAAACCTTTTGAGGAATCGCTGGCAGTGAACACCCCGTCTGAACTGCTCGTTCCACTCTCTCTTTCCGTTCGTTCGTCGTCATCGACGCTCACTTTTTGCTGTTTATTTGACGACATTTGCTGCTCGCTTTCAAACTCGCTGATTGCATTTTCGATACACTTCAACATTTGGTTTTGAACTGTTGACCATTCGTTCATTGCCGCTTTTACACTATCGTATTCTGAATTTATTCACTTTTCAAACACGAAACACAATCAACTGAACAATTTGATTCATGCCATTCATAGTATTAATGACGAGAAGACAAGCAGAAGGAGTACCACACTCCAAGAATGAACGCCTGCTCGAGGGAAAAGACATTCACCAAACCGTTCATGAAAATTCCTGAGATCGAGAACGAAACTAATTCGGTTGAGATAACGTCACGAAACAATATCAGCCAATCACAAAATTCACCTGGATTCGACTTCTTCAACTGTATTCGTTCGGTTTGCAGCCGACTCAACTCTTTTGCTAGTTCATCAGCACACAACTGCAATGAAACACAAATCATTCACCATATCATTTTATAACTGATGAAACATAAAACACTGACTGATGAAAACACGGAAAATTTTCCGAGAAATAGCAATTATGAAAAACGCTAACAATCACCCATACTTGTGATATATTCACTGAAAGTCACAGAAAATTCCCGTAAGCCACAAACAATTTNTTTCACCACTGAAATTTAAACCGAACGATATATCGCTTTAAACTAAAAATGTACCATCATCCACAACTGAACAAAACGAACCGTTGGTCCAAACGGATTGAACTCGAGGAACGTTGCCAAGAAGACGGCAGCATTTTTGCGCACATAAATGGACTTGTCCAACAGACGAGAGGATATATCGCGAATGAGACCGTTATGAATGAACACGAGCGGTATCTGCGCACACCGCGCTAAACGAGTCCACAGTTGAAGTGCACGTGAACGCACCACTGCATTCACATCCATTATATGATCCTTAACAATTCCACTCGCACAATATTGGCAAACAAATATATTCACTGCACGATATAAATAAAAAACTCACTTGAAGACGTAAAAGGAGTCGATCTCTAGCTCGTCGGTGACTACCCTCGGGTAGATTCCCTTTATAAACTTCCACTATTATTTCAACAAATGCTGTCAGTACTGCTGAGCGTAATGTTACCGGCTGCAATGAAATTCTTTTTTCAGACAAATCAACTATATCAAAACTGATGTTTACTCCGCATGTGATACCTTACCGAACTGACAGCGATACTTTGTAGTGAGCATTTTTGTCGTTTTTCAAAAATATATATAACGTATTTAGCTATTTGATGTTTTGATTGGAATTATTTGCAAAGTGATAAGTGGAATATGTTCGAAGAAGATGAAGGAAACAACGAAAAAACAAACATCGTTTGACAGGAAAAACGCAATATTAACGATGTGTCTGTTCAGTAAACGCGGTTTCTTTTCAGCCAGTGAGGTGATGAACAATGCGAACGGTCTTGCTGACACATCCGTCTTCGAGAAATCCGATGGGGTTAGGCGAGCTGAATTAATCATTCAATTTACTTGCTAAAACATTCGTAATTTGCTTGTTTCACGAATGACTGACGATTTTTTGCATCCGTTCGGGAATGAAGAACATAAAATCCTTGTTATTAAATGGAGGTTATAAAATAGTTTAATTCAAGCTTCGATGTACAACACTTCACATTTTGTCAGCCGATTAAGAGATAAATTATTGGGAAACGCCATTAAGTAAAAATGTAATCACTTAGAGTCACGGTGATTTCGAAAACAACAACAACAATAAATAAAAATAAATAATCAACTAACAGAATGATGTCAATATGGCCATAAACAATGGATCCATGTCATAATTAACAGAACAAGCTTCAATAGCGTCAACGAAAGGAGAATGCGTCAGCGAGTTAGAGGATAAATATTCGAGTTTCTTCATTAAACCGACCAATTTTGATCCAATTTCTAAAAACTGTCAACATTTCAGAACAACACGATTACTCTCTTCGTATTCTTCTCACTCATCATAACAACGTCAGCGGAACGTTCGCGTCCCGTATCAAATAAGTTAATGAAAAATCACAAAGAAAACGATGACAAACTTTGAAATTCGTCGAAATTGATGCAAATAACACGCAGATATTCAAATATCGTCCGCAACCACTCACGTCCACTTGACTTGCCGAATTCAGGATTCTCGAGAAATTTATACGCCACTTCTTTCACTGTTCTGAATTTCAAAGTAACTAACTCATATTTGTCAACAATTATTTCGAAATATTGCACGCGATATCCGTTTTCAGCGTTGAAAAACACTGTGAGCTATTTAAAGGTATATGACGCAGAGAAATGGGAAATGACAACAAAATCGAACCTCATAAAATTGGAGCATACAATAGCTGGAGCCCATAAGAACTTGACAGCAGCACGACGCGTTTTACCTTCAGAGTCAGTAGCAGTCAATGAAAGCAATCGCTGGATCACAGTCACAATTCGTTCACGATCCATCACCCAACGATCCATGAACTCGTCATCGCCATGCTCGAACAGCACCTTACGACCTCGTTTTGCCGTTGTTGCATATGCTTGATTCTTTTGCCTACAATCATTTATCACTGCACTAATTATTGTTATCACTTCGTTATTATCATACGAATGAATCACTTATTCGATTTTGTCTCTGTTCAATACTACTCCACACCGATCATTCTACAATAAAGAATTTATGCGAATAAGATGACGCTAACAAAGAGTGCAAAAATAACCAACTTGTTGATAGCCTCGGTTTCGAAGAGATTACAAAGACGACACAGCAAATAAATGTACATCTGAATGGCACAATTGTGTATCGGTCGTTGTTGATTATTCTCTTCCGATCTGATCCCTTCATCGCAGTCACTCATGATTATCGGTAACAAGTCGTCGAAACTGTTGATCGCTTCATTCAGACCTTTAAACAACCAACTTCTTCATTCTCGTCAATATTATTTGCAGTTCCCAGTTGATTTTATTAGTCCAGAGACACTTCGGCCTCATACCAACGGCATATGATAGAATGGGTTTCGTTATGTTGCGCAGACTTATTATCGCCATCAATAACAAAAAAA